CGGCACCCTTTTATATTTTCGGGACTTTACAGATTTTCTTTTTAATTTTTTTTAAGTTTTTCGGAACTTATCTTCAACCTTTTCCGACCTTCCCTTAGAAATTTTTTTGGGCATTTTTGTGATATTGCAGTATTTTCGAATTGATTTTTTGAGAATTCTTGGAGGTTTACGGGTCCGTTTGGGTTTGGAGAGACTTTCCGTAAGCGATTTTTGGGTATTTTTGAGCTATTTCGGGATTATTTTCGGTATTAATGGAACATTTTTTGTTGCCCTCTGCCGTTTGTTATTCAGAACGTTATTCGGCTTATGGCATCCTCACGTGTTTTCCTAAGATTTTTCGAGACTCTTTCCCCACCCTTTTCCACTGTCCATAAGGTATTTTTGGAAATTTTCGGGACTTTTTTCCACCTTTTCGTGAGCTTTTGGGATTTTTTCGCTCCCTTTCGGTGTTTTTGTAACAACTTGTATTGCTAACTTCAAGAATTTTGAGACTATTTCGACAATGTTCCGATTTTACGCTACATTTACATCTGAATTTTAAGTTTAGTTAATGTCATAAAATAAATTAAAGTTTTTTTTTTCCTGCGCAAAACTCGTATATTTATTTCCCTTAAAAAAATAAGAAGTAAAAATTAGCGGCTCTTTTTTGATGTTTATTATAAAACTTATGATTTTTGCATACTCCCTCGCGATTTCCTCCACCAACATATTCTTGAGCCCTTTTTTCTTCACTTTGGCTTTCTGCATCATAATCTCCTAGTAACTTTTGTGTATATCCTTTTCCATTTAGTGTTGCTCATCTCTTCGCTTTCACCTAATTAGGCTTCCATTCAAGCACAAAATGCTGCAATATTATATGGAATTAATTGAGGCTGTAGTTAATTGAATTTTTACGCTCACAAATGTTTACACTAAGTCATAAGTTTTTGTTGTTATGAATGACTTTGCCGCTTTTTCGCTACACTTCATTTTATTTAATACTTTTCCACCATCATCACCAGCAGTTTTCGCTGGCAGTTTCTTTTGTGGAAGTAATTGATATTTTTTGCATCATTGAATCTTGAACCTAGAAAAATCTGTTACACATTATTAACTGTTGTTACTGACATAATTTGTTGAACGAATACGGGCCTGAGAGTATTTTTTTCTTTCAGGATTCATAGCTAAGAATTGATTAGAATAGGTGAGCTTAGATGTAATGAGGTGAAGGCCAATGCCGGCTGTCGGATATATCCGAGAAAGCAGACGTATGGGCAATTGGAAGTTTAATTCCACATGGAAGAATGTCAAAATCACTGGGATCGCTTTAATGCAGGCCCCGTAGGCTGTAGAACACAATGTATGATCTAAAGTCTAATGTCTAAAAGTTTAACTTTTCAGGGCAGTGCAGATGACTGACACATTAGAGCAAAACTGGGGCCTGCTTACCAGAAGACGTAACTTTCTTACTAAGCTCTAAATAATGTACAGATAAATTTGCAGTAATTGTAAGAAAACATCGCATAAGATCTTGGACTGCTGGCCAATTTTCAGAAGGCATGAAAGACTACATAAAAGTAGTGAAGAAAAAGATATACAAGGTAAACGGAGCTCTACCGCGAATTATATCTTATATTGGGAGTCCAGTCGAGAACAGAAGGAAGTAACAATATACCGCTTGACAAAGAAGCGGTACGCTATGAATAAAGACCTTCAGTTGAGGTGAAGTGGTAAAAGAGGTAGAACCAATCATTAAAAAAGCCCTGGATGCATGTTTAGAGAGAGAGAAGTTCGGTATAAAGCAAAGAGACAATCTAACGTTGCGGAACTTAGCGCAGCCAAAAATATAAATACCTAACGGTGATCCTAAGAGACTTCGTCTGGTTTTAATAGTAGACGGCCAGGCTTACACCTAAGCAATGTGCCTTTACTTCACTCCTTGCTAGCTTATACATTCGTGTCAGTTACGAAGAGAAAGCTCTAGCAAAACTAGGGATGACAGGCCAAGCATCTTCCACTTTGGTCAGAGATGATTAGATAGATCGAAACGGAGATCAAAGCCCAATAAACTCTTCCTGTCCTACGAACTTTTAATGACTAGGTAAGTGAGCTGGTGGACGTGAATTCGCTAACTTGAAATCTCTGCTTTATACCCCGTCGAAAACGTTCACTTTCCAATGCATCATTCGCCTTTGTCCCTCGTTAAAAGAGGAAGCTTCGCGAAGTGTTTTTGTTAGTTCAATGCTTCCACAGAGCTAAGTAGTGTCAACGGATTAGACATGAAAATGTTTTTTGACTCGACGCTATTCCGACTAGCCGCGAGAGTTCTCTTTGCCTATTCTGCCACGGACTTCTCCTCCACAGGCACCTCAAGTAGCAGGGATACTGCTCGATGTCCAAGCGTAGGGACCGGTTTGGAGGTAAAAAGGCAATTCAATCCGTAAAGGAACGCGTGCTTACATTCATAGCCTCCACAGCGAATATACCACTAATGGAACTATTCGAGCGGGCCATAAAGCGACCTTCTATGGGCTTCTCGGCTTTCGCTCGGGTATCTAAGCGCAGTCAGTGTCTACTTGGGAACACTTATCCCTAAAAAAGTACCTTGGGAGATACCTTTTAAAACTTTCTATAGATTCCATATGGATGCAGTCAGAGTAAAAGCTTACTCTGATCGTCAGTCATTATTCCGCATTAAGTGAAAGCTGAAGTGAAAGCGTTACCGAAAGCTCATGAAATATTTAAAAATTTCAGCTTGGAAAATTTTTAAGAAAAACTAGCACATCTTCACCAAAGTTATTTCGTTCTAAAGCATCAAACAACTGTTGCTAAAAGTTTGTAATTCCACGCATTACGCGTTTTCAATTCGCAAATCAAAGTTTGACAAAATGTTTTCAACTTTTCACACAGATTTTCTTTTCAACGAGTTAATACTTTTTTTACTCGCATCGGTGGCCTTCGTAGTACTGCAAAACCCACCGCAAAGCAGCCAACCACCCCTACCACAAATTTCTTGGCTAACAAACTATTTCAACAGTTGAATGAAATTCCAGTGAATGCAATTGATTTTTTTTGCGCTGCCAAGTATTTTTTTTTTCACCTTTTGCCTGCCAATTGGAAAATTGTAACGAATCGACAGCTAGCTATACATCTTCGAGAGTTTTAGAACGCGTAGCAAACTTTGCTCCGTTGATTTTGTTAAAGAGCCGCAAACGTGTCTGGCGAAAATAGGCTATAAAACGCTAAGTAAAACTTGGCGAAGAAAAATACTACTGAAGCAACATATCAGCAATCGATTTGCAAAAGTTTATTGCATATTTGCGGGCGTAACAGCTGGTAAAGTTTGAAATGCGTTAAGTATTTGTAGAATTCGATAACTAAATACGAGGCATTTGTTAATGCGATTTCGAATGTAAAAAAGGTTTAGAAATAATAAATAGTTTGTGTGAGACTGGAAAGTTTTCAACCGTTATAAAAATGTTAGTATTGAATGATGGGTTTTGCAAGCGCTTAGTTATTGTATATGTTGCTTAAATGAACGCGGCACGAACGACAACGAAATACATAGCCACAAGGATTTTTTGTCAACGAAGATACAAAATACTCGCATATACCCGGCTTGTTTGACTGCGCCTTAAATGTATCTATTTTTGTCCGGTTTGATACCTGTTTTGTAAATTTAAATTTTTTCTAACAGGTGGCAACCCCCTCCTAAATACATATTCTGAAAAGTCGGTAGTTTAGATGGTTGCTAAGGAGGGAACAGTGTTGTAAAAGTCCTCTCCCAAAAAAAATTTCACTCTAGATCCGCCTTTGGAGCCATATACATTAGAGTGGTACTTAAGAATATCAACATCTAAATTTTGTTCGACGTACAAAACAAAGACCTCCACGAAAATTTCAAAATTAAGAAAAATTTTTTAGGAGCCACTACCTTGGTTTGAAAAAATTCGAAGTTCTTAAATAAACCGTGACAATTATACAAAAATTACGTACACAATTAAAAAAAAAATTCATATATTACTGAAACTTATTAGGTTAAGTTACAAACGAATTATAGTAGCTGGTCAAAGTCGAAACTTTGGTCGAATTTTTGCAGGTTAAAAATATCAACGTTTTCAAACCCTGGACGGAAAGAGCTCTCTTGTTTCCCCTCAGGACTTCAGGCCAATCATTCTCTCATGGTCTTTACTTAGATTTTTTTGTGCCTAGTAGCCACGTAAACATCGTACACAAACCGATTTTCCATACAAAATTAAGTAAATTTTTGAGGTTTACAAGGAACTTATTTGAAGTTATTTTAGCTTTTCCTTTGCTGAATATTTTTTCTTTTTTTAGTTCAATTTTCTTTAAATGTTAAGATGTAATTTTTTATAAAAGTAATATATTTTTTAATTTTTAGACTTATTGTATTTATTTTGCTTCTTTTTTAATTTAATTTATTTTTCTTTTGTAAATTTCATTTTCTTTTAATTTTTTAATTGTATTGTTTTATAAAGAAATACATTTTTTATTTAATTTTATTTTTAGGATCTTATTTTGTTTTTTTGTCTTCTTTAATTAGTTTTTAGTAATATTTAGATTTTGTTTTAAAATTAAATAAATTTTTTAATTTTATTTTTTTTTAAGATTATGATAAATTTTTTTTCTAGTTTAATTTAAACATATTTAAAAAAAAAAAATTATTTTATTTTTTCAATTTTATTTCATTTTTTAACATATCATTTCATTTTATTACTTATTTTCTTTTTTTAAATTTAATATTATTTTTTTATTATTTTTTATTATTAAAATATTTGTATATGTTTTTTACATTTAATTTAATTTTTAAAGCACTTATTGCTAAAAGGCCAACAGCATAACGCTAAGACCTCGTCGTCACCATTTCTTGCAGTTAGTCTTTGGAAAGAAGAGCTTTCAAGATAGCTGCGAGACTTGACAATTGTCTTACGTCACCCCGTTAGATTACTTAAAGACTGAAAAGCTTAATTTTTTTCCAAAATAGTTATAAATAAATTTACCTCATCATCGTAATTGTCGCCTTCCGCCATGTCTGCAGTGCTGTAATCTTTTTCTTCTTCTTCTTCTTTTGCTTAAAACAACTTTCGAAAACCTTAAATTCAAACACTTGTAGCTGTCAATTGCGCAAAAGTAAGCGGATAGTTGAGGCTTTCAAGTGCTATGTTGCGGAAAGCCACTATCTTCCTTAAAGCGTCCTAATCTTGCCGTTCTATGCTTTGTGTTGACAAGGATTCGCTCGTTGCTTGCTCGATGCAGTTGTTGCTTTCGCCATACATATAGTCATTGTGTAGATATTGCAATTGTATGTATGCACTAAGATTGTAATTTTTTTTGTTTTTTTTTTTTGATTCTTAAGTTTCTTACAATTACTTTCAACAATTTCAAGTACTCGTGTAGTAGTTGCTTTTACTCAGTTGGTAATCTGTTGTAGTCTTGCTTCGTCGTATCCTTGACTTTGCTTTTGGTGCGCTTCTTTGTGTGCAGCAATTAGTGAGCTCGTTTGTTATATTGTATTTCTAGTCATTCGCTTTGTAAGTGCACTCTGTACATAGTTTCACTTTCACATTTGCGCTCTTCAGTTCTTCGATTTACCCTTTGCTTTGATTTTTAATTTGTTTAATTTATTTTCTTTTTGTTAAGTCGTTACTCTTCTCTGTTTAATTTCATGTAATCGCAATGTTGTTGTAATTACAATAGTAATTTTTAGTAATGCACTCTTTCAGGATTATAAATATTTATTGCGAATTGGCCTTTGCAGCGCTGTGTTGCACTCTGCTAGCTCAACGTATAAGTATAGCATACTTTTGGTCGCCTTAAGCTTTATTTCGCTGCATGCTGCATACTTTTAAGCGCTGCCATTAAAATATATTTCGTTGTTAATGTTGCACACACTGCAGAGCAAAAAATATAAAAAGTTCTTGTTAGTTCTTTCTAGAAATTTTCCATTTGTAAAAGTGTGTGTGTGTGTGTGTATATATTTTTCTTTATTTATGCTGCATATATAGTACAAGTGTTGCATATTTTTTGGCGCAACCAACCAACCATCCTTTCATACACATACATATGTAGCGTGTGCGTGTTGTATGTATGTGTAAGTGTGCGAGCTGTGCTGTGCTGTGCTGTGGTAATTAGTGCGTGCATGTAAATTTTTTCGTGTAACAATTTACATAAATTCATTCTTGTTAACTGTCGTATGGCTGGCTTTGTTGTTTTTTTTTTCTTTACACACATAAATGCATACGCACATACAGCTTGAATTGTTGTTTAGGAGTGTTCATGTGAATGTGGCTTACATGCGACAATAAAATTTTTTAAGAGGTTTTTTTTTTTGCTTAGGTTTAAAGGCTCGGCAGGAAAGACATACAATTACAAAACACTTTGAAATCAAGATAGAGAGAGAGAGTGAGACATACATATGTTTACTTGCAGGTTTGAAGGTAAATGTCTCTTTTTTATATTAAAAAAATAAAAACAAGATACATCGAATATATGTATATATGTACATACTTATGCAGGGAAAGTCTGATATCGTCAGACTATTTACTTATATTAGTGTTGTAGAATTTTTTCCGATAAATAGCTGTTACTTAGCGAAATTTTCGAGGATCACTTTACATGGCTTTACTTTACTTACCATCTTCTCAGAGCAACGTGAATAGATTTGGGTGGCTGTTAGGTAAATTCGTTAAGTAGATACTTTTGGAACTTTAAGATCAAACAGTACCTTACAACTACATATAACAAATTGATTCCTCTTGCTCTAAGAAAATGTTCCTAGAGCAAACACAATTCCGAGTGGTCCTTGAAACTATCGCGTAGTCATGGATTTTCGAAAAAAGTGAATCATAGTAAACTGATTATGCATAAACCGTATGTTTACATAAAAATATGTATTTCGAAAATTTTCTAAATTTTTTTAAGTCATTGGCAATAATAATATTGCCCCTATTCAGTAAGCTGTCACAGGTCACAAAAAGGTGCTGTAAAAGACGCAAAAACGAAGCTACGAAATATTTATTTACCAACAATTTGATTAGGAAATAAACTTGAATACTTTAGTATAAAAATTTAATTAAATAAAAATACAAATAATTTTTTTAGCAGTGAAATCTTAAACTTAAATGGCACGCTAGTGCTTTGCTCACTCGGCCATTACATAAATATTCATCCCAATTGTCTTGGTAATGTACTTATTTTATACGTGATCCCAAATGTTTTGAATAAAAATTAGATCAAAACGATCATTTTTGATTTTAAAATGCTTGCGAACGTCAGAAAAAATCATGGCCGACGAATTGTGAGAATAATTTTACCTTGTGATGTTTTAATAATTCTAATTTCTACGAATTCGTTCAGTTGTGATTGCTAAATCAAGTAGAGAAAGAGAAGTAGTAGGTATTAAGGTATTTAGGGATTTTATGTGATGACCCATTACGAGAGATTTACGGGAGAGGTTCCAGCAGAATAAATTAGATTGAATTGGATAAGATTAAATTAGATTAGATTAAACCACAATACTGTAAACTAGATTAGATTAGACCAGAAAGGAGTAGACTTCATTAGATTAGCTTAACCTAGATTAGATTCGGCTCGGTATTTCAATAGGGGTATTTTCGTTAGTACTTTTAATTTCTATAGGGTTGCCACCTCAAAATTATAAGATCAGTTCGTTGAATTACAAAAAGTCAGATGTGAAATGAAAAGGCTTGGCCTTTAGATGTTCAATAATTTATTATTTTTTGAATAGGGTTGCCACCTTGCCGAAAATAATATGTTTTCACCGTTCTTTGGACTAAAAAATGAGGTACCAAGTGAAAGGATATGGTTTTTTTTTTATAGTGGGGTTGCCACCTATTTAAAAATTACTACCCTACATATAATGCGTGAAGGCATTTTTGGTTAATGCACAGATCAGATTTGCACAGTTCATTCAAATTAAAAATTGGGGTATTCAGATGTGCAGTAAGGTTTTATTTTTTGAAAAGGGTTGCCGCCTGTACGAAAAATTATAAGATGTGGGCTGTTCGTTGGACTAAAGAGTGAGTTGTGAAATGAAAGAACTTGGCCTCCAGATGTGCAGTAAGGTTTTATTTTTTTTTTTAATAGTGTTGCCACCAGTCTAAAAAATTATAAGGTCAGTCGTTGCATCTGCTCATCAGCTCTGCGTTTCACATAGCCCCGGTCATGTTCACTCTGACCAGCTTTTGAAAATTGTTGAGCTTGGACTGCTTGAATTTTATTTCGGTCTGCTTTCATTAGGCATAAGATAGGCGCAGATTGGGAAATTAGAAAACGCAACGACATTTTACTTCAGGCATCCTTAGCTCAGAGGGTATACCGTTGGAATGCGGTACAAGAAGTGTGATAAGGGAGAATAGTGGTGAAATAGCGGCAATTACCAATTTAAATTACTATTATTTTTCCATATAAAATGCAATAAAAAACTGGGTTTTAAAGGCCAAGTTAGTTATTGGATTGAAAACATTACTTATTTTGATTGTGCTAGTATCTACCTGTAACTAATGGAAACTAATTTATTATTTCCTACTGGTTCATGTTTTCTCTTTACAGTACCTACTTACATGCATACATATTTAGTACTTTCATTTTTATCGTCTAGCTTAGCCAAGTGCAGCTTTCTAAATTTGTGCAACATGAACTCTTATTGCTCATTGCAGTAATTCTCGCTCTCGAGCCATTTGTTCCAACAAGTACTTCACGTGCATCTGCAATATAAGTACTTGTGTTGTTGTATGGTTTTTAGTTGCACACTGAATTTTTGTGCTACTATTTTTGCGCTTAATTACTGCGCTAATTATATGGGACTTAAGAGCGTACATATGTATGTATGTATGTTTTCAGAAATATGTGGATTGCAATGTGCAGAGTTCTGCGAGAGTCTGCTCGATATAAACCATCACTCTAGTGCCAATAGCGCCATCTGCCACCCGGTTTTATATGTTTGCATTTTACTATGTATGGCTCCTAAATGTATGCAATCGTGTTGCTGTAAAATTTGTATGATGACAATAAAAGAGGAGGAGTGAAATAACAGTTATCAAGCAACGTAAAAAATAAATGTTGTGAAATAACTCTTATTGGCGACGGAAAACATATTTCTCCTGGGTTATAAATTTTATCGGCGAAATAAAAAATATTTCTCATCTTATAACTGTTATGTAACAACGTTGTTCCGATAAAACTTATAGCTGTTATGTCCCTGGCAAATTCTCCCACCTATCGTTATTACCAGACATATAATTTTACCTTCTACCAGACCAGGCCAACATTTTTCAAACCTTGAAACCAATCTGTACAATCGACCAGCTCAATGTACAGAAAGAAGCCCAAAATTATGCTACAAATATTTAAGAGTTCGTATAGCGAAAATTAAAGTCGTCTAAGCCCCGATAGGTAATATGATTATTTTTTAATTCAAAGTAAAACCTTCTAAAGTAACTTAAGCTTCTTTAATTGAGCGGCACATATACATACATACATATGTATATTAGTTATGTACATGAAACAGAGCCATGCACCACACTTGGTGAAAATCTTTTTTGAAATAGAACATTTGGTAATCATTTAGCAACCATCGCTACAACAGTCGCAATGGCCGAGTGAGCAAAGCGCGGGTGTGTATTCAAGAGATCCAAGTTCGAGTTTCGGGCAGCGGGATGTTTCCCTTTTTTGGTTCCAAATTTTCCTCTTTTTTCATTTCATTTTTAACCGACTCGCAAAAAACGGAGTAGGTTATCAGTTCGTAGGAATATTTTTTTTTTATATATGTTACCGCATAACTTTGGACCACGTCAACCGATTTCGATAATTCTTTTTGCATGGGAAAGGTAGTGTCTCAGAGATCCCATACTAATCTGGTTTAGATCCGACTATTGGATCATGAAAAAATTAACGGTGCTCCTAAATTTGTACATGAAAATTGAAGTCGGTTTTGTTTTTTGCTTAAAAATTACTTGTTAGATTTTGTTTTAAAAAGAAAAATATGTATTTTGTAAATTCTTTTTTTTTATTTTTTTTTCTTTCTCAATTTTATTGTCTTTAAATTTTTAGATGGTATTCTTTTAAAAAGAATATTTTTTTAACTTCATCTAATTTTTAGGAACTTTTTAATTTTTTCTTTTGTGAATTATTTTTAGTGTACTTTTCTTTTAATGCTTAGATTTTATTGTTTAAAAAAGAAACATATTCTTTTTAAATTTTGTTTAATTTTTAGAATCTTATTTTATTTATTCTTTATTTTTTAATTCAATTGGTTTTTCTTTTTTAATTAATTTTTTTTTTAATTTTATTCTGTTTTAAAAATAATCTCTTTTAAGGACTTTTCCTTTTTATGATTAATTTTATTTCATAATTAAATTTTAGATTTTATTGTTTAAAAAAAATATTTTTTTTAGTTCATTTAAATTTTAAATAGATATATTTTTGTAATTATTTTCACTTAATTTCTTTTTTTCTTCTTTTAATTAAATTTGCATTTATTCATTAGTTTTTATTGTTTTGAAAAGAAAAATATATCGTGGAATGATGGCCCTAGGCGAGATAATATGCTCCTACTTTCCTCCAATCTCTAGCTCTTAATAAAAGATTTCACTTTTTTTTTTTACTCATATCGTTGCCGATTACGCGGAATTTTTGATATTTAACAATTTTTTCGTTTTAAAGTTTAAGTTATGTACATAAAAATTTTAAAATTAAACGGCGAGAGTTTCTTCTTGCCAAGCGAACCCATCTAGAGTGATGTAACTAGTGTGTCACCAAATAAAAAAAAAAAATTACGCTGATTGTAATAACGATGATTTGCGAATCAAAAATTCCAATTTTACCATTTTTATTGGCACAATCCAAAATCACTTTAAAACTTTTTATATAC